TAATTCATCCGATATTATTTGTATATCAGAACATTGGTTATATCCAAATGAAATTGGAACATTGAGTGAATTACACGAGGATTTCTTTGGTATAGGAGTCAGTAGTAGCGGTTTAGAGCCATTGAATAAGGGTTCTCATATAGGGCATGGCGGGGTTGGGATCCTCTATAGAAAGAACATCAATGCAATGCCAGTGTATTTCGAATCGGACAGAATAGTAGGACTTAAAGTTAGATGGAATGATTGTTTTATGCATATTCTGTCAGTGTACTTACCTCAACCTACTTGTGTAAGGGACAGTTTTGATGTTGTGTTAGATACACTTGACGAATGTCTGCAACAAGTCAGGGGTATCGGTGAGGTCATCATTGTAGGGGACATGAATGCTAATCTTGGGAATTTGGTGACCGACATGGGTCAAGGGGACCACTCAAAAAATGGTAGACTCTTGTATAATTTTATGCTAAGGAATGGGTTGATATGTGCTGATATGTCAGATTGTCGTAATGGACCCAAGTACACGTTTTATAAAGAACCCAACATAAATACGTATATTGATCATATATTAGTTACAGCACCTCTTATAAGATGCTGTGTTACATGTGAAGTACACGAGGAGACCCTACTGAACACATCTGATCACCTCCCCTTAACTTTAACTTTGACTATTGCGGCGACAAATTCAGTGTTTTGTAAGGGTAACCTTGAGGCATTGAGGGCAGTTAATGTAAAATGGAATAAGATCAGTGAAAGTCAAATTAAATCCTTGTTCACTGATGTGGTTTCAAGTAAACTTATAGATATAGAAAATGAGTTGAGTAGGACCCCCTCGTTATCAAACAAACAAATTAGCAATTACTTCAATCAACTTGCTAAGCTCTTAAAAGATACTTCGCACAACAATCTACCCAAAGGGAAATTTCGTAAACACATTAAACCCTATTGGTGCCCGGAATTGAAAGTTATGTATAAACAGAAAATGATTGCATATCATACTTGGCGGGAAAGTGGAAAACCGAGAACGGGTCGAAACTATGCTATTTATAAAAACGCGAAACGCGAGTTTAGAAAACTGCTCAGGAATAAACAATACGAACATGCAATGGAAACACAGAGAGAGCTAGACGTATCGGGCAATATTAATATTAATGACTTCTGGCGGTTAGTTAAAACTAAACGAAAGGGGAATGGGAAAAATGTGTTACAATTGAGGGGTGACAATGGTAGTATTTTAGACACGGAAGTAGATATTTGTAACGAGTGGAAAGCGTACTTTCAAAAACTTTATACACCTGCAAATAATCCTGTTTTTGATAACGGCTTTAAGCAAGAGGTCGAAGGCGCAATTCATAGAATTGATCAATTAACGCGCACCCAAACTGACGATAATTTACAGGAACCGTTTTCGGAAGTCGAAGTTATCGCTGCTATAGATAGATTGAGATTAAATAAAGCACCGGGGCACGATCTTGTCACCCCAGAGCATATAAGGTACGGTGGTACAAGGTTAATCTCGGTCTTAACGTATCTATTCAATGCTATAATCGAAAATGAGTTCTTTCCGGATTCTTTTAAAATAGGGGTCTTAATAACGTTATTCAAAGGAGGGAACAAAGATATTTTAGAAAAAGATAACCATAGGGGTATCACGTTAATGACCATATTTAGCAAACTATTTGAAAATTTATACATAGCACGAGTTAAGGCCGATAATAACATTGAACCGATACATTGTCTGCAAGGGGCAGCAATAGATGGTACTTCTTGTATCCACACATCGATGGTCGTGCGGGAGACTGTCGCGCATAATGCGGACAGGGGTAGTGATACATATATAGCATCATTGGACATTAAAAAATGTTACGATTCTGTCTGGATAGATGGGTTGTTGTATACACTCTTTAACCAAGGTTTCAAGGGGAAAATATGGAGAATTTTGAAAATTTGGTATTCGGATTATCAATGCAGGGTTAGAGTGGGAAAACTATGTCTGATCCTTTCTTCATTAACCAGGGAGTCCATCAGGGGGGTGTCTGTAGTTTGATGCTCTATATGCGTTTCACAAATAGCCTCTTAAAGGAACTCGAACAAAGCAATGCTGGATGCAGAATCGGCAATATTAATGTAACCTCACCCACATACGCCGATGACCTGATCCTCATGGCTGTGTTCCCAAGGTCCTTACAAACATTACTGGACATAGCATATCGTTTCAGTACGCGATGGCGTTTCACCTTCCACCCTGGGAAGTCAAAAACGTTGATGGTTTGCACTAAAGAGAGACAGGGCCGCAAAGACTTGTGTTTTTACCTTGGACCAGATAAAATGGATCATGTCAGAGAATGTACACATGTGGGTCTCATTTTAAATACAAATGGTAACTTGAAACAACATATTGATAATGCAATGGGAAAGGCTAGAAGGGCTATCAACGCGGGGGTGGGGCTTCTCAGCAGTGACTCCTTCGAATACAATCCACTGACGGCCTCTATTTTACATTGGTCCATATCGGTACCATCCATGACATACGGTATGGATATCCTGCCATTGAAACAATGTGATTATGATTCCCTTGAATTGACACATAGACAAATAGCAAAACGTATTCAACAATTGCCATGTAATGTGCATAACGAAGCTTCCTTGGCACAACTGGGCTGGTCGAGGATTCGTGCGGTCATAGATACAAAAAAGTTAATGTTTCTGTGGTGTATCCTAAATCTACCAACCACATGTGTGTATAAAATGATTTTTATAATTGAGTTCTTTAGATGGAAGTCAATTTCTGAACATTCAAAGTTGTATAGCAACTATTCAGTAATAAATGCAGTTTTGAACCTTGTGACAAGATACAATTTATGGCGATATATTGATGAATATTTTTTGAATTATGACCTGATGCCCAAATGTGCGTGGAAACGGATTGTTAAAGCACGCATAATGCAGTATGAAGAAGACAGATGGCACTTGTTATGTAACATATCTAACAGACTTAGCGTTTATAGAACGATACAAGTTACGATAAAACCATGCGTATGGTGGAGAATCTGTCAATCGAATTGTAAATACATAGGGATGTGTAGGGATATGGTAAAACTGCTAACAGGTGCTTTCCCACTCAACTATGACACCATTTGTCCTCTGTGTGGGATGACAAATGAAACGACAAGGCATTTTCTCTTAGATTGCCTTGAACTTCATGAAAGTAGGAGTGACTTGTTGGCAGTTTTAAGTGACAGAATATTTGATGGATATAATATGGTTGAAAAAATTGAGGTCTTACTAGGAAAAAATGAAGCATTAGACTACAGAATGTATGTGAAGATAATGTTAAGTGTCAAACACATGTTAAAAACAAGAGCTGCAGCTATAGCTCTATAAACTATTAAATCAACACAGTTTGCGTTGTAAATATATATATTTTTATTTTTATATTTTTAATATTGCCACACTAACTTTATAATTATTATGTACTCATCTGCATAGGTGGAAATAAAGATACATAAACATAAACATAAACATAAACCAGGAAGTATTTTTGTGTCTGTCAAAATCCATTTACATCCTACGCATCCCTGCATCTTATCCAAATATGTTACTACATAATGAAATATAATAGTATAATCTTTGGTTTCACAAACTTGTATGATATTTGATAAGTGTAAAAGTTGTTTTTGGAGCATTTTTCTATAGCCATTTTGTAGGGAAAAAATGATGAAAAAATGTACAATCTTTTAATTTTAAGTATGACCTGAATCGATTGCAAACTTCATATTTGCACATTTGATGAGATAAACCATTTGTGTCGTATTGTGAAATTATGAAGTTTGCAATCGATTCAGGTCATAGTGTATTTTTGGTATTTCTGTGATAATCAATGGAAACCAATGGCCTCTATTGGGATCTGCTGATATCCTCATGTTAAGTCAATGGTGCACAGCCCCATGTAAGTCAATACAACCTTACTGAACGAAATGATCCCTATCTCAGCTTATGTGTGTCCGAGCACTTTAATATTTTCCAAAGTATTATATGACATTTTATTCTTCATGTTACACCTACGAATGATTCATTTTGACCATAGGGATATTTGCCAATAATTGCACCTTGTCCTTTAGCTAATTTAATCTCCCTTTCCAATTTCTTGAATCTTGTGTCTGTTTTTCTGATTGTCTTCTCCAATGAATGTCACTAATATTATCTTTTATTTATTTTTTTATTTATTTATTTATTTATAACACTCTACATGGGCGTGAATATTACAGAAATTATTAATTAAAATTTGCTTCGTCAGTTCAATTTGATTCGTCTATTTTTAGCTACACCCCTGTCCCATCTTTGACTTAATTCTTAATCATGGAGATATTAAACATGAACCACAATAAATTGAATTAATATCATCGTGTGATAAAGAATGTTCATAAAAAGATGGTAGTACCATAGTCACCCTATTTATATATATTTTCTCTCAAATACTGCCATCTTTGTAACGCTGTAAACCTAAGCAGGATACATTGCATGTACATATGAATATCATGGGACACCCATCACATGCCGGTGTAAAAGGGTAGGAGGTCCTATCGAATTATGGTCCTACTCTCCATTGATTTATATGGTGACATAAATACAACTCTTTCCCTTATTATCGTATCCACAATCAGGGCCAGTAAGGGCCTTTCAGAAAAGGACCATAATCCCCAGGGGACCATAATTTCTTTTACACCGGGCAAAGGCATATATGGGCATATACAATGATGTGATATTTAACATAATAAGCTTGAAATTGTTGGCTAATAATTTATATATATATTTCATAGATTTGCAATTGTACGGCTGTGACTTTTTATCAACAAAAATACAAATACTTTTAAAAAACACGGTATAATGTATGAAATCATAGCTTCGACGCTGAAACAAGATTATGCAATTACTATTTGTAATTAAGTAGGCAATGAGACAACAAATGCTTGAAATTATTTTCTTATTATTTTCAAAAGAGAGTATGATTCAAAGTCATAGTAAGTCAAGTATCAAAGTCAGACCGGGAACGTCAAAGCGGCATTACATAAACTGATGAATTAATATTTCTACTACCACATATGGCATGGATTACATTTTGATGTATAACATATTTGAACATGTTAAACGCATATCGAAGCAATAACGTATACTAGTATTATTTGATCAAGGCTTGTCTTCTTTGTGCTTGTCTTCTTTGTTTTTCTTTCAAAAAGAGACTGAATGGGGTCAAACACATACAGAAACCCGTCACACCTCAAAATATCTGCGTCGAAACCTTTGGACTTTGCCTTAATGAACATAAAAGTAATGAAAATGAAATGAAAAAACGTTCTCATTTCAGTTCTAATGAATTTGGACGCTTAATAACTTCCACATTTGATCAAATATCTCATTTTCAGATATTACATAGGATTGTTATGGAAATGTATGGATGTTTGATACAAGGATTGCTTCAGGCATTTAACGTCATTTTTCCGTTGGTGGCCCAAACACTCATGATTCCTATAACAGAGAAAACAGGCCCTTTCATATCTAAAAAAGCTTTTACAGTCTCTGAATCAGACTAGAAGATAGTCTTTGGTTTATTATGTGTATCACATATGTATTCTCATTATCTTCTCCCGATTAAGTGTTAAGGTAGCACTGCCAGGTAACTGGATCAACAAAGAGTCAGCCATGCTGGGATTCCGATGTCAGAAATATTGAAAGTTTAGTGTCAGCCATTGTGGAAGTCAGTATAATTCCATTCTTTGACTTGTCTTTTCGCATTCTTCTACTGCATTGTCTACTTAATACCCGTCTTGATTTATTTACATCGTCATCTTTGCATTAAGCAGCTCAGAATACCAATCAATCCACTGCTGTTTCAGAGGTTTCAGATATATCTCTTTCCTTCTCCCCTCCACTGCTAAAGCCATGGGCCAGGTTACCAAGAACGAAATTTATTGTTTTTCTGTAGCTATCTTCCAATTCGGGGGTGAATTTTGCACCGATTGTTTCTTTAATAGATTCAAGAAACGGTTCTTCTATTTTCTGAAATAGACTGATTGGGTTTGTCATGATGGCCTTATACTCACATGCCTGTAATATAGCAGTATAGTATTATGTATGTTAGATTACAACATCTTTAATCTTTCATCAAACCATTAACAGATTTTTCAATGTTAACAAAAATATATCGATAAGACGTTTAGGTAGAAAGAATGCTGGTTCGATGCAAGATAAGGTATTGGTAGTCACAATTCGCTTGTAAAAATGTTAAATCTAAACTTTACATTTAATTATCTTGGTTGCCGATTTTAAGTGTATTTAAACAAAAAATGGAACACCTCTGTAAATAGAACACCTCCATAAGTGGAACACTTTACAAAAAGTCCAATTACCCATAACTTAATGTTATGTTATATAATAATTTAGGTTCCTAATGAGTTCCACTTACAAGATTCTGTTGTATTTCGACGTTCTGGATATTTACATATAAAAATATTGTATGACAGTCCTTGGCTGAGAACACCACATTCATAAAAAATATTACTACGGTATAACCTTATTAGGGACAATAAGAATGAAAAGGTAAAGATTGTTTTACGCAGACCTTTTTGCGTTTGCTGAATCAATAGCTTATTTTCCAGCCAACTTTGTCAGAGCTCGAGATATCTTTCTTAATTGTGTGTCCTTGGACTTTTGATTTATTGTACATTGGGCTATCAATTGCTTCCGGTTCATTCACCTTTTCAACTCACAAATGTGACATTTTGATGCGTTGAAAGGTAAGGAAATACTAGTAGTGTTAAAATTAAAGTGTGAAATTATGATCGTGGATATACAATTAAACTGCAAGCCATTCGAGTATCTTTATTCTGTCGGTTACGAATAGGTTGGATTTTTGACGCGAATGTGGAATTTTGGAGGGATGGAACCTTGTTGTAGTCCCCAAAATCTCTTCACACGGTTCCGTCGTATCGTAGACATAATTGGGTTGGATCTTTCTGTTAGTTTTTAACCTCATTTACATTTTCACTTCTAATATTTATTAATCGATCGCAGGTATTTTTGCATCGAGACTGTATAACTTGAATGAAAATTATAGTTTTATGTAATAAAGAAGTGTGATTTATATTAAGTGGATTTATTATGCAAAATCTTTGTTTCGCAGATTTTACATGTAAGGCATATCTTAACGAATTGATAGGTTGTCATATTTTTTGTTCTCAATTAGCAAGATATCATAATTTGCCTTATTTACTACATTTTCTTGACTGATTGACATTTTTGCCTTCATATCTCACGATGGCTTCATATTCAAGCACACGAAATGGCTTTTTATATGGATATGGATAAGTGCCCACCGCGTGTATCGCAACATCATTTTCGCAAAAATAACACTTTTCAAAATAAAGACAATAAAGTTTCAAATATCAGATCTTCAGGTTTTAACTTTCTATATGGCCTTTAAAAGCTTTTACTTATTTCTTAAACTATTCTATTTTCTTACCAGAAAATTGTCAGCGACATAGCCATGGAATCTTCGATGTGATTTACCAACGTTTCGCAGTTGTTCCTGCACGTAGTCTACGTCATCAAGTGAACAGATGGCGTCATCTAGCGTACACATAACCATCATTGCATGGTTTTCCAACGCCTGGCTTTGTCTCATAGCTTCCGCAGTTTCAAGCCCTCGGAACTCAGAGAATAAGTTTTTAAGATTAAAATTATTTTGGAACAATCTGAAAATAAAATATTATAATAAATACAATAGTAGAACTTGTACAGGTCCAAATGACTTCTGCTATTTTCTCATCCAGTAAGTTCATAAGTACAAAAGTGAATATACTTCTCGCATCCTTTTCGACTTTAAAAGTCTATAAAACTTTCTACATGGACGATTTTAGAAGCTTTCTTATAATTACAAGAAAATATATTTTTATAAAGCCCCACCTAAACCGTATGAAAATAATCATAATGAGATTAACTCTGCCATATGCTCATGGATATATGATTTAGAATAGTTATCCCACCGAACGAAGTTCGAGGGTGATATAGAGAAGCCGTCCGTCCGTCCGTTCGTTTGTCCGTGTGTCCGGGCGATAACTCCAATACCGGTTGACGGATTTGGTTCAAATTTTATAGGCTTATGCCTTATGAGTGTAGGACCTCTGCTCGAGAAGGAATTTTCAATATGGCCGCTCAATTCAAAATGGCCGCCATTTTTCGTAAAAAATGTAATCGTTGATAACTCAAATGCCAGTGAACGGATTTGGTTCAAATTTTATATGATGATGCTTAGGAACACAGTAGCTATGTCCGACAAAAATATTTCAAGATGGCACCTGAATTTCAAGATGGCGGCCAATTTTCGTAAAACACGTAATCTTTGATAACTCATATACCAGTGAACGGATTTGGTTCAAATTTTATATGATGATGCCTAGTTCACAATGGTATAAACTAACTTTGTGCCAAATTTCATGCTTCTATCACAAAGTGCACAAACATTTCAACATTTACACTAGCTATAATAACCATAATATGTTTTGTTCGGTGGGATTTGCTACTCCGTGGAGTTGCTGTTTTTCTAGTTTCGACGAAGTCTCACCTAATAAATGAGACAAAGGAAAGATTTATGAGGACAGCTTTACATTTTCATCACTCTAGTAAATATTAGTCTTAGGGATGAATCAGGTCTGAAGGCTTCATTAATTATTCTCTCGAATAAGAGCTGGGATAAGGGCTTTTTCGTCGGTCAGTACGCATGCGTCCTTTTGTCCGGACGATAACCCAAATACCGTTTGACGAATTTCAATTAAATCTTCCAGTATCGAAGTTCTGATGAAACGCAAATATTGAATGTGACTAATGAATATTGCAATAAGTGCATGTTTTAAAGATTAATTAAGGCAAATCTATTTTTTGCAAATAATGATTTTGTTAAAAGGCGGTTGTATCTCACACCTAATGGGGGTATCTTTGTTTCTAGTTACGTAGCAAACACATAATTTGCGCTTCAAGAATAGCAGTGATGAAATGCATATGTTGAAGAATGATTTTTGCTAACTTTGACGTTCATATTGGTTTAATATGTTTTGATTTTTAAAAAGGATGATAACCTATTACTAGTTGCAACGAACAAAACCGGTTTAACATGTATGAAAAGCAGGTACCACATATGACATAACCTTGGACACATACAACTCCAAGAGTTTGCGACACGTTGAAAGCACACGCTAAAAAGGAACATCTTACTAGTTTATTGCGAATATTGTTTACAAGTGTTCTTCGCCAATCGAACCGATTCTACCTGACTAAATGAGTCAATGTCATACATTTCATGGGACATTTGCAATTTATTTTCTCATATCATTGTACAATACTCTGGCCATTAGCTTGACAAGCTTCATTCCCTGTCCATATTACTGTTTTTTACGGCCTATTAATTATTTTGCCTTGGTGCAATTTCTTACGCATACATACTTTAAGAACATGTCAATGCCCGTCTGTTCCATATTCCTCGAGATTCCTTTCCACGTCCGAGCTATCAATCTCCGGTCATTCTCACTGATTTTAAGGCGTTCATCTGTAAAATAAAATCGAAATGATGAAATAAACACGAAAATACGCATGATATGGCGCGGTTTTGAATGTGATGCGTCCGTTGAATGTCAATGCAGTCACTACAAAAACATGGGGATGTGACAACAAATCTCAATAAACCAAATGCTGACATCTGATCAGATCAGTAAGAGAGAAAGATTTGAGAGAGGGCAAAATTTGAAAAACACCAATATATGATTGCATATCCAATTTGAATATTTGAGAAATAAAAAAGCTGACAACTTTTTCAAAAATTTTTATATTTCAATCCTCCAGTTGACTAATCACAGTAAATATTATTTTATGTAAGAGTTATAAATACTACGTGTGAACATTTTTTTCGTTAATTGAATATTTAAATCCCAATTACAAGGAGACACTCAACCTATGATTCTCTTTCCGCTCTCAGTGCTCTCTCTACTGCGTTTTTGCGTTATCGTAGTCCCAGCAGGAACATCATCGTGTGTAGCTGACATAAGTGTCAGCTGTGTAGCTGACACAGAACACCCCATACCCATCGGGTAGCCGTGACACCTGAACCGTTGTTAAGAAAAGTCCCAGTCACGCCAGTGTTTCCTTATAAAACTATTATGAGTCCACGTTCCGTGTTTCCTTATAAAACTGTTATGAGTTCACGTCCGTGTTTCCTTAAAAAACTTTTATGAGTTCATGTCCGTGTTTCCTTATAAAACTTTTATGAGTCCCAGTCACGTCCGTGTTTCCTTGTATAACGTTTATATGTGTATTTGTGATACCCTAGTTCTCCCGTCAGCGACGTCCCCACTTGCAGTTCATTGTTTCAATATACCATGGACCTCTGAATGTTTATAGTTGTAATAAATCATTCGTGAGATCTTGTCCTAAACGTACGACATCACGCGGCCGATAGTCACGATTACGTCAGAAACGACAGAAACCGACTAAGGATTAGTACATGTTGATTCTCACGTGTTGACTGTTGCTTGAATACAATACAGCTACTAGCTAAAGGTGATGCAGCTTGGAAGCACCTCGTAATTGTCTCTGATAATAACTATCTTTCTGGGGATAAGTTACTTAATATAAAATCGATTTTCTGTTCATCATAAGCCGAATTAGTGATGAAATACACACGTGTCGCCTGAGAAATTGGTTTCTATATCCGGAAGATGTTTTGGAGAGAAAAGGTACTTCACACTAATGAATATTGTTTATATAAGGGTGATCCGCATGATGAGATTTTCTCCTCTTACACATCTTGGCAAAATACATAGTTCATTGTCAAAATAAAGTGATTATACACTCCCCTCCATAAGTTTGACAACTGCGATGAAAATACTTATACTATTGATGGAAACGTAATTTGACTTTATTTCCAATACCTCCTAATTTTCTCAATTTTTTTTCCTCAATTACAATAGGTCGAATGATGAATTTTTGAAAAGCGACATTCCCACGTTATCCAATGGGAAATGGTAGGTTTGTCGCAAGTCATATGACAGAATATCCATCCATCACCGTCCTTGCAAAATTTATTGAACAAGAAATTGATACGTTTCTTCAGGTTCAACAAAGTTATAGGTCTTTAAAGTCAAAATTGTCAAAAACCTCTCCCATTGAAATAACACAGGAGGCGAAAAATGATTTTCAAAAATGACTGAAGCTTTGTAACTTTAGTATTCATCAAGTAAACTAAACACTTAGTGCACAAAAAAGTTAGATAATTCAATTTTCTATATAAAACATTTTTTGCTGAATCTTTTACTGAATAGATATCCTGATTTCTGATTTGCCCCGAACCCACCATTTCCCATTGGTTTACATGGGAATGACGATTTTCAAAAATTCATCAAATGTATCATCAATTTTCGACCTATTGTAATTGAGGAAAAAATTAGGAAACTTTGGAGGTATTGGAAATAAAGTCAGGTTACGATTTCATCGATGTTATAAGTTATTTCATCGCAAGTAAATAAAAATTCAAACGTAAAGAGGCTTTAACACGTAGTTCAATGGGGGAGCTAAAGTTGCCAAACTTATAGAGGGGAGTGTATTTGGCATTGCCATCAATACAATGTTTTATTTTCAGCTTTTTGTAAAAATGTGCAAATACAGGGTGGTCCAAAAAAATTGGAACATTTGATAATTGAACTCAAAATCGTTATTTTTCCTCTAAAATGCACAAAAGTTTTACTGAGTATTGTTCAATCACTTATTTATCCGATGTAAAGTTTATAGGTGCAAACAACAAAGTTACTGCATTAAACTAGAGAATATTTGATATGACCCCTCTTCTCTCGAATTACAAGTTGAAGCCTGGGACTAAGTTTTGAAATGATTCATTCACTTTGCCGTTCATTTGATTTTGTCCAAGCCATCTTGATTAAAAAAATCAGCTTGAACAAACTACTTATGTTTGCCTTGGAAGATCAAATATATGAACACATTCAACATTTTCTTACCCAAATTGATGGGTATCAAGCATATTTTGATGGCTATTGTTGGATATATTACTGATTGAATATTCTTCAAAAAGAGGCCAGGGGCGTCTGTTTTGACTGGTAAATGACCCCCACCATTTTCTGTTCTATTATGAATAATATCGATTGAATATATCAATATATTTCCCGGAACACAAATGATATATTATATTATATGTGCTTAGAGGTGGTCTTTAATAAAGCCTTGAAAATAACTGGTCTTTTACCCCTCTACTGAAAAGTGGAAACAATGATTTTGTCACTTTAGTAGCTGTATGGGTTATGCAATCACTCACCTCTGACATGTTCTTTCTTTCCTACTCCTAAATAAAAATAATGATTTGGGGTATTCTTAAGTTGACAATAGCACAATAGTTTTCCAGTAAACCATAGATACCTCATGTCAACTATAAATATGATTTTATAAAACGTATATAGCAATCATGTTCATTAAAGCTTTAAAACAAAGAATACTCGAAAAAGTAGCTGCGAAATTGACAAGTGTATATTTAAGAAAAGGGGGTCATATCAAACATTGACTAGTTTAATGCATTAACTTTGTTCTTTGCACCTATAAACTTTACATCAGAGAGATAAGTGACTGAACTATGCTCAGTAAAATTTTGGTGCATTTTAGAAGAAAAATAAAGGTTTTGCGTTCAATTAACAAATGTTCCAATTTTTTTTGGACCACCCTGTACATTGGACAATTAATTAAAAAATACTTAAAGTATTATACATCCTAGAAAGCATAATATAATGAGGATATATGAGGCCATCATATGTTAGCCTATACTGAACTTTCATTGGTTTGCCAATATGTGTGGTCCTTTGTGCATACACGTCCCACAAAACTGAGGACAATCAATATAAGCGATACCATTACATTCTGATTCACATCGCATCTAAAGACCAGTCTGTGTTTAGTTGATCTATGATGCAAGAAGGGAGGACCATGGTTTTCCATGATGTTCTGGAAATATTATTATTGCGTCAAAATACCAAAACAATGGGCTGGAGAGTGTGAAGATCAAAATAATTGAATATCATAGATAAACATTTTCTGTAGATATGTGGAAATTGAAAAATACTATTCAGCAGAGAAGAAATGTGTCTCATTTATTTTGGCGATCAATTTTTGTGTCATAAATCTTGAATAATTCCATCGAGCATATCTTGACAATCGGATTATATTGAAATGCCTTCTTTTAATTTGTCCGGACAAGTTCATCGACCGAACTAATATTGTTATTTTCTTTATCAGTTTATCAAAGTTTCTCATCAGACACGTTTTTTAGGATTAGAAAGAAAAGAACAATTATTTTTCACGTGATCGGTTGTTAAGGTGACTAGACCATAAGAAAGTTCTGAGAGTAAGAATCTATAAAAATAATTACAAATATAATCATGATTTATTTTTGGAATTATGTTTTAGCATTATCGTATGACACGGAATTGGATTCCATCCAATATTACAAAAATATATAGAAAATATAAGAAGGGTAAACAGTTAAACCTCTTTCTCGCTATAGTAGAGAAAATTACAATTACTTCAGCTTCATTGAACTTGTTTTATTTTTACCTGAGTCACCTGAAATCTTCCTAATGTGAATTTACTCATGAATTGGCATAACTGAACCATTTCTATCTTTCTGGACACGTTTTGCTTTGAGAGGTAGCAGGTAATTTCATTAGGACTGATAACTGATAAGTATATTATGTTGTAATTACAGATTTACCTGGCCGTAATTAATTGAGTAAATCCAAGGACAAGATCGGTGAACCCCTTCAAAATAGAAACAATTTTAAAATTCCGTAGTCAACATTCATAGTATAAACGATATGCCTAGCAGAACTATATAACAATCGTTATGTGATCATAAAATAGTGTAAAATTCTGAGTCAAGAACACTTTCAAAGCCACAATGCGATATTTGTATCATTTTTGGTCTAGTTTCATCAGACCTACATCTGGGTGGCCTAATTCTAAGTAACGATATGGCCTTCCTGCGATGAGTTGTTCAAGATTACATTTGAATAGAGGCAATATATCCTCTTAATTAGACCATCTCAACAACAACACACCAAGTAGATTCAGAACAAAGTGCATTCGATCTTTTGAATTGGACCCCCCTCCCCTCAAAACTAAATACAATGAAAGTTGATCACGGACTTTTAACATGTTTTAGCGATTCAATTTGGACTTTCATTGGGGCAGTACTATAACTTATTTATAAATTCTAAAACATGTGCCAACAACAATAGGCATAATATTCCATGTTGTATGCATCTTGGTGAAGAAGGCGTCTGGTAAAGTCTTTATTTTCAAACCATTCCAAGGCATTTTGAGTTAAAATTGCAAAAGATTTAAATGTTGAAATTTGTCGGATAGCAAACTGAAATAGCTTTGACCCCCTCCCCCAAAACTAGATTTATTTATGCTTCTATGAATGTTCATTTATTTAGTTTTCTATCAGACATTGATCTTTTGATGCCTCCCCTTACTTCAGTTATGTCTATTAAACCCTAGGATTGCACGTGCTATATACCAAGCACATTTTTTTGACTGAAGTAAAGGGTGTGCCAAAAAATGTTGCAACTTTAAAAAGACTAGAAAAGTATGAAAGTAGAACACATTAAGGTATTGACATAAAAATTTATTTACAGAAACTTTAGGAGAGGCATATTTTACCATTCAAATACACAAGCTAATACTGAATTCAAATCTTTTCAACAGATCTTTGATGACAATGGTAAATTGTTCATGTGTCCGAGATTAACCATTTTCCCTAGAAATTATAACGTTTTAAAGATTTTACGTGATCAACAATAAGATGTATTTACTATGTTCACTGAATCTGCTACAATCTCTGATAACTGTTTAACCATTGTCTAGTAAGGTTTATTACTAGCCACTATGGTTATCACTGGTACTCACCTAGTTACGCAGGCAATACGTCAGCGTAACAAGATGGAAGAACTTCCGGGCTTCGTTTTCGGTAAGATGTTTTTATTTCTCGATTCTACACCACTTATAATAGTCAAGTTGTGGACAATAATTTGACTCAAAGTTAAGGAAGATAGTCTAGTTTGAGAATATGCAGGGGGTTCTATGTTAGGTATATTAACGAAGACGCAATTTACATATTTAGTCCCTCGCTTTTGTTACGTTGACGATCTTCATGAATATTGCCAATGTGACAACTACATGATGAGGTTCATCTTTAGGCTATATGGAGACGGGTTAACCTGGGAATTCTGGGTAATATCCTTCTTGTGCATTTAAAGTAAGAGCAGAAGAAGAAGTAAGAGTAAATAAATACGCTAGATTAAGGTTTTGAGACTAAAACTATTTACAAAAATTTAGTACATAAGTCAACGAAAACTCACATTTTATATTCAAGTATTCCCTCATTTATTCACTCATTTCAGTGAAAAGTAATTTACAGATCAATATACATGTTTAAGAACTGTGCACCTAAAACAATAGTACATGGGATATTTTCACGTATTCTTGAAGTACTATAGTATGTAGTATTCATTAACTATATTGTGCCAA